ATAAGTACTTTGATATGTTCCACTAAGACCTGAGAACTTTTTATTTCTTTTTATTTATTTAACATAACCAGTAAGCCATTATCACACCTAAAAAAATAACAGAAATTCCTTGATACTATCTAATGCCCATTGTTTGAATTTCTCTAAATATGTCATCTCTTTTTAATGTTCATTCATTTCAATTAAGACCCAAACAAGGTCCACAAGTTGCATTTGGTTAGTAGGACTGTTAAGTATCTTTGAATAAAGAGAAGACTCATCCATATTCTTTCTCTTCTACATTATATGTTGAAGAAACAGGTCATTTGTTGCCTTCTGAATCTAGCTGAGATATTGGTCTTTATAGTGTTCATTATGTTCCTGTCTCTTTTACACTGCCTATGAATGAATTGTTAGAAATGGATCCTTGATGAGATTCAGATTTCAGTTTTTCTTTTGAAAGAATACTTAATATCTATTGCAGTGAAATTAATTATGTGAGGATGCACATAATATTTGACTATTTTTCATTTTGTAATGTTAAAACTGGTGAATGCAAATATTATTAGCTAATCCATTCTTGTAAACTTTTCTTCAACCTATCACCTGAAAGATTTGAGCAGCTATTAATAATGATTATTGTTCAAATTCATTATTTCATTAGGAGTTACAAATGATGCCATTTAAATTTCATCTTCTTTATTTATACTTGAATCATGCTGTCAGGAACTTCTTTTTCAGCAGTTATGTGGTCCTCTTCAATAATTTTTAGATATAAATATGATCACCTTTTGTCACCAGGCTGGCAAGATGAGCTGGGTTCAAAGGAGCTGGCTGCAGCAATAACTAAGAAAATGTCGATGAAACCATGCAACATATGAACATGAGTTTAGAAGGTCAAGGTTGGGACTGCTCAGTGACCCCAAGGGTCAACTCCATGCTGGGCAACACTAGAAAGAGAGAGAGAGAGAGAGAGAGAGAGAGAGAGAGAGAGAGAGAGAGAGAGCCTAGAACCCCCCTATTTATTGGGGAAAAGACATTCAGTAGAATATTCCACCCAAATAAGGGAAGGGGTAGGGTTTCGAAGAGTGGAGTCTTGCTTGGTGATGTCTTGTGATCAGCAGATTGATTGACATCTTGGCAAGTCACACCCATCTCAGGTGCTGTGTGAGATCACAGGCGAGTAAGAGGAAAGGCACTTTTGCATTGCACAGTCCAGTCAGCACGCAATGCCAGACCAGTCCCTTGGCATTGTGTGCTGTGAAGATTGGTACATTTAATTATATATAAATTCTACTGGAAAATGTATTAAAATAATTTTACCTGAAAGTATTAATGATTTTCATTATAAAATATTTAGAAGGGGGCTGGCCTTGTGGTGTGCTCACCTAGAAGTGCGAGGCCCTAGGTTCAATCCTCAGTACCACATAAAAACAAATAAAGGTATTGTGTCCAACTACAACTAAAAAATAAATATTAAAAAAATATTTAGGAGGAAGTGTACTAATGTTTGCAATTTACTTTGAAATGCACCAAAATGTAAGGTAAATCAATAGATAAATAAAAACTTGGGTAAATGTGTGATAAAGTAAGTAAAGTAAGTGAACTATGAAATTCTTTTAAATTTTATGTGTGATTAAAAATTTCCATAGTAAAATATTAAGGATGGACTGAGGCTGTAGCTCAGCAGCAGAGTGCTTGCATAGCATGCATGAAGCACTGGGTTCGATCCTCAGCACCTCCTAAAAATAAACAAATAAAGACCATCTACAACTACAAAAAAAATTGAAAAAAAAATCATTAGGGAAATGGGGATGAGTTTTAAGTTTTGTTTTTAACTAAAGTTTATTTTATATTTAAGGTATAATTAACATGACATCATTGTTTATATATATATATATATATATATATATATATATAAAACAGTTGCTGTAGTGGATTGTATATTTTTTCCTACTCTGTAGGTTGCGTTTATATTTTGTTGACTGTTTCTTCTGCTATGAAGTAGCTGTTTTATTTGATATAGTCCTGTGTATTTATTTTTGCTTTTGTAGCCTGAATTATGTGATATACAAGAAATCATTGCCAAGGCTAATGTCAAGGAGCTTCCCCTGTTTTCTTCTAGTTTTATGGTTTCAGGTCTTGCTTTTATTTTAGTTCTTTAAAAATCTGTTTTTATGCCATAACTCAGTATCTAAGGCTAGGTATGTATAAAAATTTGGAGGCTGAAAGTCCAAATTGCATGGCACTGGTTCTGGTGAGGGCTGCCTTTATATGTGTCACATCTTGGTGAATGGCACCATGGTAGGAGTGCATGAGAGTGAGATCCCATGGCAAGGCAGGAAGGTAGAGATTGAGGAGAGGACCAATTTTTTTCTCTTGAGGGGACTAATGTTTCTTAAGGGAACTTTGTTAATCCCTTCCAGCGGCATGCCCCAGTGACCCCCTCTAGGCTCTGCCTCTTAAAGTTTCCACCACCTCTCATGTTATCACACTGGGGATCAATCTTTTGTCACATTAATCCTTGGGGGACAACCCACATCCAAATCATAGCAAGTTCAAAATTTTTTCTGCTTGATCTAGGATGCTGTCGAAGCTCTCTACTATGTTCTATATTTGTTAATTGAATTATTCAGTTCCAAGATTTTTGTTTGATTCTTCTTTATGATATCTATTGCTGTTGAATTTCTCATTCAGATCATGATTGTTTTCCTGATTTTGTTGAATTATCTGTGTTTTCTTACATCTCACAGAGTGTCCTTAAGAAAATTATTTTTATTCCTTTTAAGGCAGTTGGTGAATCTCCATTTCTTTGGAGTCATTATTGGAGAATTATTGTTTCTTTGGTAGTGTCATGTTTTCTTGCCTTTTCATGTTCTTATGTCTACAAATCTGGTGGAAAAAATTACCTTTTCTATATTGCACAGAGTAGCTTTTGTAGGGAGAGATTTTTCACCTGCATATATGAGTCTTAGTGTGCTGGATGGGAAGAGTATGGCTGTGATTCCCTGAAGTGCAGTGGTATAGCCTCTGTATGGTTTCTTAAGCTTTGATCAACATCAGCGATAGTACATGTGCCTTGGTGACTTAAGCTATAAGAGTTTATAGCAGGAGTGACAGCAGCATAGGTCATTAGAATCCTTAGCAGCAAGGACTTTTGTGGTCCTCCTTTTCTCATTTCTCTCACAGTGGTGACTCTTAGCTTAGGAATTTGCCGCAGTCTGGCTGGGCACAATTCAGGAGCCACTTGTCAAAAGAAACTAACTTTATTTTTAGAACTACAAATGCCAAGCAGAACAGCTCCTCAGGAAAAAACCCTCAGAGCCCAACTGCCACCACCGGCTTCCCACAGGCCTCTCACCCCCACACCAGCCTCTCCACCTCCCACAATCCTCCTGCTCTTGAGGCCGATTGGCTGGGTTTCGTGGGCGGAGCCAAAGAAGTCCCCCAATGAGCAGCTCCGTGGTCTGAAAGGGCAGGGAAACAGCCCAATGAACATCACCACAGAGGAGCCAATCAGCTAGATGTTGCTGGGTTGCTGGGGCCGCTGTGAGCCAATCATCAGCTGGCAGCTGGAAGTTTACTGGCAGCTGGAAGTTTGCTGGGGCCCCTTTGGCTGTGGCTCTCAACAGGGATTCTTCTTTGTGTTGAGTCTGACCTAGTCCTTGACTCAGGGACTAACAAACCTGTGGTAGTATTTAGACTTTGGGGGTGCAGGTTTGCTCTGAGGCAGAGTTGGATACAGATTGCTGATAAAACTAGTCTGTCATTCTGAGGCACCTCCAGCAGCTTGGGCCCATGGTCTGGATTATAGATGTGACTTGGACTCCGAGGGCACGCCATAGCACTGGCTCAACTATTAGGTAGAAGGGATGCAATGGAGGATTGGGCGTGGGAAGCAGGGTGCAGCTGCTTCAGGACACAGTAGTGACTCAGGCCTCAAGGGATCATGTTTTGAATAGTGATGATGGTGGGACCTGGCAATGTCCCAAATTCTCTGAGGCTAACTGCAGCTATAGCAGTGACTCTGGGATGGCAGAGCTCAGCTGTTACTTGAGCCCTGGAATGTAGGGGGGTAGCACAGTGACAGTTGCACGCCTTGGTCAGGGGTGTATCTCACCAGCTTAGGCTCCAGGTGGCTAGTTCAGTTCCAGGGAAGCAGACACTACTATTGTTCAACCTATAGGGTTGGGTACAGCTCAGCCAATGCTGTTTTCCTAGGAGATGGGGTGCCATGTCAGCTCAGCCTGGGATGTATTGTTGCTTGATTTGGGTCAAGGCACCAATTCCTTGGAGGGTAATGTGCAGCTTCAGGTCAGGTACAGGAGTGTGGGGCTGCTCTGGGTGGCCAAGACACTGTTTACCCAGTAGGCAGGATACCACTTTAGTTCAGGCCTTGAGGGGCAGGGTGCAGCAGCAGCTGAGAGGGTAGATGGAATGGCTTTGTGGTATTTTGCTCCCACAGGGTAGGGTGTAGCAGTAGCTTGTCTCAGAGATAGTGGGCCACTAGGTAGTGGTGGTTCAGTAGCAATAAGGCCTCAGGAATGAAAGGGTACTGTGATACTCACCCTGGAGCAGGATACTCCCAGCAAGATGCTATGTACAGTATACACATGAATCATAAAGTGTAGAACACAGTGTCGGCTTCGTGTGAAGACTGGGCACACCTCCTTCAGTCGGGCTTAGCACCTGTGAGGACAACATGAGTCCCAGGTAGTGAGGATTGTAGAGATCCAAGGTGGTGATTCTCAGGAGCCACTCTGGAAATACATGCCCGTAAATCCTGAGCAAGAGATGCTGAGCAATTATTGTGCCCCACAATAACTTGGGCTTTACCTCCACTTGGATAATGGGGCATGGCTCCAGGAGTAGGCATCACCCAGTGGGGTTGAGCTACACTCACCTGTTCCTCTGTAATCCCACCCCTTGCCCCTTCTGATGTAGAATGTTCCATGGAACCTCCCCTTGTGTGTCCCCTATATAAGAATAAAGAATTCCAGTGGCTCTCTCTCTTTCCACAGGCCCCTAAGGTCACAGAGCCATCCCTGGATTTTGAAAAGGTACTTCTGTGTGTTTGCGTGCTTTCTTGGCTGTTTTCTTAAGTTATCAGAATAGTCAGATTTTGTGAACCCAGCCTTAGGTCGCCAGCTAGGATAGATGGCAATAGGTGGTGGTTGCTGGAGTCCTTGCTTACCTTTCTCTTAGTTCTGTGCTAACTGCTACTTAGGGGTGGCAGAGGTGAGGTATTGCCTTTGTACTTTATGTGACTAGCCTGGGTCTCTATACTTTATAGGGTTTCTACTACTCCTTTAATGTACTTTGGCACTTTTATTTAGTTATTTTAATCAAAATGTAGTTGTTTATTGCTTTGCCTGTCTCTGTGTTGGTGGATGAGTGCTAGGATTTCTAGTCAGCCACGCTGTTGGCATTATTCCCTGGTGTGAGTTTTTTAAAAAAGGAGTTAAATTAAAAACAATTGCAAAAGTCATGTTCCAAATTCCTAAATACTGTTTTTGCATCTCCAAAAACTAACTGTTCACATTGAACAGGAATTTTCCCTTTACAGGGATCAGTGTCCTTCAGGGATGTGACTATAGATTTCAGCAGAGAGGAATGGCAGCATCTGGATCCTGCTCAGAGAAACCTCTACCGGGATGTGATGCAGGAGACCTACAGCCACCTGCTCTCAGTAGGTAAGCTTTGTCACCGTGGTATCTGAAAGGAGGTTTCTGAGAGTGTTTCCACTCTCAGTTGGATGAATTCAGTGGAGCAATGTCCAGAATTCTTTATCTCCTTTGAGAATCTTCATATTACTCTATTCATAGAGATACATGACTACTCTTCTTAAAAACAAACTCTATTGACCCATAAGATTAATTGGGCACCTGGGCGCGGTGGCATATGCCTATAATTCCAGCAGCTAGGAAGGCTGAGACAGGAGGATCCTGAGCTCAAAGCCAGCCTCAGCAATGGCGAGGTGCTAAGCAACTCAGTGAGACTGTGTTTCCAAATAAATACAAAATAGGGCTGGGGATGAGGCTTAGTGGTTGAGTGCCTGAGTTCAATCGCCGCTACCAAAAAAAGTAAAACAAATTGATAGATTGGGCTCTGAAACTGAATTAGCTGGAACCAGTCCTCTGTCATTTCCCACGAACAGGGTATCAAGTTCCTGAGTCAGAGGTTTTCATGGTGGAACAAGGACAGGAGCCGTGGGCACTGCAGGGTGAGAACCCACACCAGAGCTGTCCAGGTGAGTGAGTATCATCCTTGTAAATGGGAGATAAGTCTCACTGAGTTTCAGCAACGCAAGAGAGCAAATCTCAGCTGTCTTTAAGAATCTGAGGTGCTTTGAAATGCTTTTCTGGAAGGTACTCAATTTTTTGAGTGTCCTCGATATTGACTTCTCAGATAACTAAATGCCTTCTACCTGATTGACCTTTGCCATTTCTGTCTTCCTTGGCTTTTTGAATTCTGCCCGTAACAATTGGTCTCATTAAGGATTATTCTTTTTTGTTATGCCCTTTTTCTCTTAACTTTTTTTAAAAATCCCTACCTTTCATATAGTTCTAGAGTCTTTGTTTACACATCCAGGCATTTATGGATCTACTTTACTTCAGATTTACTATGTGACACATATTCACATTCCTGTTAGACCCTTTTTCTTTCTGAGATGCCTCAGAACTTTTGTCTCCTGCTGCCCCCACCCATGCGGGCAGCTGAACTTAAGGTGGCTCATGTTAATTTCCAGGGACACCAAATAAAACACAGACACACACTTTACCTTTAAACAAGCTTCAGGACAGCTTCTCCACTCTCAGCCTTAGGCTCCCCAAATGGGAGAGCAAGAGAAAGTCATGAGAGGCTGGCGAGAGAGAGCGAGCACATTCAGAAGTGGGCCTTTATTGGGAGGACCCTTGTTCTGAGAAAGTTCCATCCAAAAAAGACCAGAAGGGGCAGGATTACAAGGGTCAGGTGAGTGTAATTCAACCCAAGGAGTGTCCCTTACATCTGAAGACATGCCCTTAACTTCCTGAACTGGGACAACGAAATGTAGTGATGGTCAAAGCCTTGCTTCAGGATGAAAGGTGTGAGTCATTCAGAGTGGCTCCCTACAGTCTCCAACCTGGGTCTCCTCCTGTTTTCTCCATAGTTATTTCCATGAGATTTTTCATTTCTTCATAGTTTCCCAATTGATGATTTGGGGGTCACTGTCACTTAACCTTTAGGTATACTTATACGTGATACTTGACATTATCAGTCACCTTTCCCAAACTTTCCTTCTCATGCTGCTTGAGTGACTTCACACTAACTAGGGTTTCTCTCCCTGATCGGTTGGATTTATTGTTACGACTTTGTGTACCTTACCTGCTTGAGTTTAATCATAGTCTTCAGTTTAAGACTCCCACTATAGGTCACTGTTTTGCTGAGGATTGAATCCAGGGGCGCTTAACCACTGAGCAACCTCCCCAGTCCTCTTTATTTTTTATTTTGAGACAAGGTCTTGCTAAGTTGCTGAGGGCCTTGCTGATTTGCTGAGGCTTCTCTCAAACTCATAATCCTCTTGTTCCAGTCTCCCAAGCCACTGAGATTATAGGCACGTGCCACCTGAGACATTTTTAATTCATGCTTATTATAAAATTTATAGTAAATTAGGGCTATGTATCATTAGATTACATAAATATAACTTTGCAATATATCTTGTTCTTTGCCTTATTTTTTTCCACATGTCCATAGTGCAATCTGCTTTGTTTATTTCCTTTCTTGAATTGTATGCCAGAATGTTTCCTATCAATACCATCGTCAACCTCCTCATCAAATGACACTCACCCTTTTCTCTTTGTTCAACCTGGATGAGGTATTTGTACCCTTCCCTTTAGCCTCTTTTAGCTGTTCTTTGAGCTAAAATCACCTCTTTCTTTTTTGAGAAGATGTATTTGGGTTTCAAACCTTATAACAGATTATGAAAAAGCTTCTTTCCACATTGAGCAGTGGGGTGGTATTACAAGTGATGTTTTCTTGTATTTCATTCTAGAAGAATTGCAACAGATTGGTGATCAGATAGTCACCTATCATCAAACAGGAAGTAAATCAATAAATGATACTGCTTTCATCAAGAAAATATGGACTACAAAGAGTCATCATGAGTATGAAGGCATTACAGAAATAATCCACATTAGCCCAAACATTATTCCCCCCTCCAAAAGACCCCACCAGTGTGGCTCATTTGGGAATGTCTTTAAACATAATTTAGATTTATACAGTCATTATAGAAGTAATACATCCAATAGCATTAAAAAGATGACTGAATGTAGTAAAATTTCTTCCTATACTGATGACCATGAGTATACTCTAACAGGAGAGAAATTATGGAACCATAATCAAAGTAGAACAAATCTCAATTATAAACAAGTACCCTCTCGATATCAGAAAATTCATACGGGAGAGAAATCCTATGATTGTGCAGAATTTGGAAAGATCTTCACCCATAAATCACAGCTCAAGGTACATATGAGAGTTCATACAGGAGAAAAACTCTATGTATGTATTGAATGTGGCAAGGCTTTTGTGCATAAGCCAGAATTCATCACACATCAAAAAACCCATACTAGAGAAAAGCCCTATAAATGCAATGAATGTGGAAAGTCCTTTTTCCAAGTGTCTTCTCTCTTCAGGCATCATAGAATTCACACTGGAGAGAAACTCTATGAATGCAGTGAATGTGGGAAAGGCTTCTCTTATAACTCAGATCTCAGTATACATCAGAAAATTCATACTGGAGAGAGACACCATGAGTGTGGTGACTGTGGCAAAGCATTTACACAAAAGTCCACACTCAAGATGCATCAGAAAATTCATACAGGAGAGAGATCCTACATATGTATTGAATGTGGACAGGCCTTCATCCAGAAGACACACTTGGTTGCACACCGAAGAATTCATACTGGAGAAAAGCCATATGAATGCAGTTACTGTGGGAAAGCCTTCATTTCTAAGTCTCAACTCCAGGTACATCAACGAATTCACACAAGAGTAAAGCCCTATTCATGTACTGAATATGGGAAGGTCTTCAACAATAGTTCTAACCTCGTTGCAAATAAGAAAGTTCAAATTAGAGAGAAATCGTCCATATGTGCTGAATGTGGGAAGGCCTTTACTTACAGGTCAGAGTTAATTATTCATCAGAGAATTCACACTGGAGAGAAACCCTATGAATGTGGTGACTGTGGAAAAGCCTTTACTCAGAAGTCAGCACTCACAGTGCATCAGAGAATTCATACAGGAGAAAAATCCTATGTGTGCACGAAGTGTGGGCTGGCCTTCATCCAGAAGGCACACTTGATTGCACATCAAATTATTCATACTGGAGAGAAACCTTATAAATGTGGTCACTGTGGGAAATTCTTTACTTCCAAGTCACAACTGCATGTGCATAAACGAATTCACACAGGAGAAAAACCTTACATGTGCAATAAATGTGGGAAGGCATTCACCAACAGGTCAAATCTCATCACACATCAGAAAACTCATACAGGAGAAAAGTCTTATGTATGTTCTAAATGTGGAAAGGCCTTTACTCAGAGATCAGACTTGATAACACATCAGAGAATTCATACCGGTGAGAAACCTTATGAATGCAGTACCTGTGGAAAAGCCTTCACCCAGAAGTCACACCTCAATATACACCAGAAAATTCACACTGGAGAGAGGCAGTATGAATGCCATGAATGTGGGAAAGCCTTCAATCAGAAATCAATACTCATTGTGCATCAGAAAATTCATACGGGGGAGAAACCCTATGTGTGCACTGAATGTGGAAGAGCCTTCATCCGAAAGTCAAACTTCATTACTCATCAAAGAATTCATACAGGAGAGAAACCTTATGAATGCAGTGATTGTGGGAAGTCCTTCACGTCCAAGTCTCAGCTGCTGGTACATCAGCCAATTCACACAGGCGAGAAACCCTATGTGTGTGGTGAATGTGGCAAGGCCTTTAGTGGCAGGTCAAATCTCAGTAAACACCAAAAAACCCACACAGGAGAGAAGCCTTACATCTGTTCTGAATGTGGGAAGACCTTCAGACAGAAGTCAGAGTTGATTACACATCACAGAATTCATACTGGAGAGAAACCTTATGAATGCAGTGACTGTGGGAAATCTTTCACTAAGAAATCTCAGCTCCAAGTGCATCAGCGAATTCACACAGGCGAAAAGCCTTATGTGTGTGCTGAATGTGGCAAAGCCTTTACTGACAGGTCAAATTTGAATAAACACCAAACAACACACACTGGAGACAAGCCCTACAAGTGTGTAGTCTGTGGGAAAGGCTTTGTTCAGAAATCCGTGCTCAATGTGCACCAGAGTATTCACACTTAAACAGTATGAGAAAAACCTTACAGAGGACATGATACTATTGAATCCATGCAACAGAATAATATGTATATTATTGTAAGTAGAAATGCCCACAGCAGAATGTGACACTGTACTGTTTACAAGAGGACCTCTTGAGAAGGAGCTGAATGACGGGGTGGGGGGATTCTACATTGTCATCACCATTGTTAAATCCTGGGGCATACTGAGAAGGAACTGATGCTTTAGAGGAAGCCTTCTCATGAAAAATACAGTGGAATATAGGTACCAAATTCTTCATAGGAAGGATAAAGTTATAATCATGATAATCCTCTTGGTGGAATAGGGACAATGCCAACAAATTGAACAGTAAAACAACACAATATAGAGGGTGGTGATATGTCCGTAGTTCTGTAAGTTGTTTCCTGAAGAACATATCTAACAGGCATGGGGTTTTTCATTCTTTGGTTGAATCTAACACATTTGTGTCTATTCAGTCTACCATTGCTACTTCTATCAAGGAAGTGATATAATAAAAATTATTCCTTATCTATACTGACACAAAAGAGTGTATGTGGATTCACCATTGTCATCTAACACAGGATTTGTCACCACACTTACAGCTACTTGTAGTGTCTTCGAGCCTCAGAAGCTATCATCACATTGTCTTCTGACCCCCAGCATAGTATCTTTTGAACTCAGTTCACTATCTTTGGGACAGCCATTTGAGGTAAGAATTTTCAAGCCATCTGGGTCAAATTAAGTCTCCCTTATGTCACAGTTCTTCACACTTATTTGCCTTCCTTAATGACTCAACTTATATAAGAATAAATCACTAACTTATAACAAACCCCAACATATATTATGTTCTGTGTTCATCTTCATGTCATGTACTCCACAAAGACCTCCCCACATGCCTTCAACACATTCATTTAGTTCCTGTCTTGGACCTTTGAATTTGCTGTGCCTCTGCACAGAGCACTGTTTTTCATTATATCTTTGTAGCTTTCCCCTTTATGCCTTTCCTCCAAGGTCACCTCATAGCCCTTCCCTACCTGATTAAAATCCAAGCCCCCTCTACCTTCCCCTTTTATCTTTCTCCATAGCACTTATGCCATGGAACCTTATCTATGATGCTTTTTTGCCTATGGCTCCCACTCTAGAATTTTTTTGTTTTCTTCACCACTATGAGCCTAGACCCATGTCTACCATATGGCAGGCATATGCACATTGTAGAGTATTGACCCATCCTTACCCCAGATTCCCTCAGTTCCTTTCTGTTTTGCAGCATATGAGGCTCCAAAAGGGAGAACCAGCTTGCTTAAAACATGGTAAGAATTTCCATCTTTAGGGCTGGGGATATGGCTCAGGCGGTGGCGTGCTCGCCTGGCATGCGTGCGGCCCGGGTTCGATCCTCAGCACCACATACAAAGATGTTGTGTCCGCTGAAAACTAAAAAATAAATAGTAAAAAATTAAAAAAAAAAGAATTTCCATCTTTAATGTTTACTTAAGCTGTGTCCCTTCCTAGTCCTAAAGTTAAAGTCTACAAAATTTCTCAATACTAACCCATTTAAAGAAAAAAAGTTTAAGTATAGAAAATCCCAGGATTCCCTGCCATGATTCTAAAATTCCAAAATGTCAGTTCTAGAGTGATTTTTTAAATCCCACTCATTTTGAAGCCCCTGCATTCACAGTTCTACGCTGCACAAAGTCCAGGGTTCTAACACCAAATAATTCCATCTGTAGATCTGCTTATCCTGTTTTGACAGGTGTGCCAAGTATGAAAGGGCCAAGAGTAGACAGGGGTGGATCTTGCAAATTAGGTGACCAACCCAAGATAGGTAACAGTAGTTCACAGATACTTGGGCATGTTTTGAAGTTCAGCTTCTGGATGGCCTTACGGGAGCCAGCAGAATGATTTGTCTAGGGCCAATGCATTGGCAATGCTAGGAGTGGGAAATAGGCTGTGCAGAGATGGTCTTGTCCTTGTGAAGGACAAAATGAAGAGGTAAGGATAGACACCAAGAGATGACCTGATCAAGGGGGGAGGGCTGGGGATTTATTGCCCTGGATCCTGATGGGGCAGTGCTCCATGATCTATCTCACTATCCTTGCCTAGCTTAATATCTGCTCATCCACATTTATGTCTCCACACTCTTCCTTCACTGAATCTGATGATGCACTGGATGACCTTCCCTATCTTAGAAGATTGTTGTTGACCATTACTTCCTTTTCCCCAACCAGCACTGTAGCTAAGATTTCACTACTGTCACCAACTTAGAATATCTCAAGACCCTCCATTTCCCCCCAACTTAGGACAGTGGCTACTGACCTTTCAGAGTAATTATGGTCACCTTTTCCCCCTTCTTAATCTGCCCCAGAATAATGTCTGTCCACTCTCTCTTATCCCCTTTTTATGTGTGTCACCCCTACTTAATCCCTGGAAATCGTACCAGTAGATTTTATTACTTCCTCCCTCCCCCGATTATTTCACTTCAGCATATTTGTTACTTCATCCCATTTGTGACAATGTCTGCTAACTTCCATACTCCAGTGTCTGATGACCACTTAATACAACGTCAGAATTAAGAAATATTGGCAAATCCAAATATTAGCTGATAATTTTATTACATCTCTAGGGGGATGTGTGATCCCCCTCCACTTATTTGTCCATCACAGTGGTAACCAGTGATCTTCTATTACTCACTTAGCAGTGTCTGTAACTATCCCCAACACAGCACTTGGTGATTCTTCCAATATGGTCCATACTGTTAACCTGCCTTTCTCCTCTGTAGTAAAGGCAAATGGCTGATAACAAACCATAACCACATTTCCCATCTACATTTTGGAGCCTCCATTGCACTCTCCATAGCACCCTATTAACAATAGGACAATTATGATGGGGGCCCTACATTCCCATGTCTGTTATGTCTTGACCAGTGACAGTATCTGTGACCCCTCCCTATCAAATCCTGGCAATATATGCTGGTTCCTCACTAACCCCTCTAGCATAATGTCTGTTGATTCCTCACTGCCCCCATTACTTTTTGAGCCCCCAGTCGTCACTGACTACTCCCAAGTTTCTCAGCACTGCTTCCCCATGTTTGTAGATAGAAGGCCTGATGGATAAGGATGAGGTCCCAGCCTCATACACACCCACCTTCTGAGTGCCTCATAAAGCACAGGGCAATTATCAACCCAGGATGGCTGAGGAGGATCTGGGGATATCAGGAGATCACAAGTTGAACTTCAAATTTTTGAGGAGTGACACAAGAAGAATGGTGAGTGAAAGCTGTGAACCTAGGGTCAAATTCTGGCACTGTCCAGGAGTTGCCTTGATTGCCTCACCTTTAAAATGGGGTTATGGAATTTGCTGGTAAGTGGATGGAACTAGCATAACATGTAGACAATCACGCTACAAGTAAAATAAGCCCCCAAAGTCAAAGGTTGAATGTTTTCTCTGATATGCAGAAACTAGTTCAAAATAAGGGATAATAAGAAAGAGAGAATGGGGGGAAAGGGAGGGAGGAATTCCATCAAAACAGAAGAAAAAATTGTTGAACTAATGAAGGGAATTGATGGCAGAGAGGTGGAGTGGGGTAAGGGAAGGACAGTAGCATTGATCTGACTTAACTTTTATGTACATATATGAATCTTACCATCATGTATATACACAAGCATTAAGAAAAAAGGAAAACTATAAATAGCAGAAATACCAGTAGAGGGAACAGGGGCAGGGGAAGGAATGGGGAAGTAATGGGGACTGAGTTAGAGGAAATGATAGTCCATGTTTTTATGCCAAAATGAACCCTGATGTTATGTATAAGTAAAAAGAGTCAATAAAAATGGGGTTATGCAAGAATGAAGGGCCAATATGGGTTACATGATGGGAGCAGGACTGGCAGAGCCCAATGAGGGTGCCCTATTGCTTAAATTATAAGCTGACACAAGCATCTGACCATCCTCTACAGGCCCAAGCCTCATGGAGGGAAAATATTTTGTTGTAAATTAACTTTCCATTATTTTCCTTTTATAGTTGTCATAGCATAACATAGTACTAATACATGACTAGGGGGCTATGACTTTTTACATTTTAAGTCTTAGGGTCACACACAAAATTAGAAGTTACAGAGATTTCCCATACATTTCTACCACTGCATTCATAGTCTCTTCCATTATCACATCCCCTCACCAGAGTGGTACATTTGGGTTTTTTTTCTAATTAATCTACAATTTTTATTTGTTTTAATTAGTTACACTTGACAGTAGACTGCATTTTGACTTACACAATTTGTTTACAATTGAAGAACCTACATTGACACTCATTATCACCCAAAATTCACAGTTTATATTAGAATTCATTTTTATTAGCACTTTTATTTTTTAATAGAGCTTTATGGTTATATATAATAGTTGGTTTCTCCCAACAAACTCATACATGCATGGAAATTGATATCAGTTCATGATCCCCCTTTTCCTCCCATCTCCCCCCTTTCTCTACTAGACTTCCTTTTGCTTGTCTATTAATTTGTATTCAATTGTTTCCTTATGTAATCTTATGATACTGTACATTCTACAGGTTGAGACAAACTAATAATGACATGTATTCATCATTAGGATACAGAGTAGTTTTACCGCCCTAAAAATCCTCTGTATATTTCTCCCCCCAGCTCCTGGCATCTTTTTACTCTCTCCATAGTTTTGTATTTTCCAGAATGTTATGCAGTTGAAATCATACAGTATTAGATAGCCTTCTTTCAATTAGTAATATGTATCTAGGTTTCCTCTATGTCTTTTCATAGCTTGATAGCTCATTTCTTTTTAGTGCTGTACAATATTCCATTGTCTGGATGTGCCACAGTTTATTTATCCAACCACTGAAGGGTATTTTTGTTGCTTACAGTTTTAGGATATTATGAATAAAGCTGCTATAAATATCTCTGTGTGCAGGTTTTGCTGTAAACAGAATGAAATATTGATGTTAGGGAAGGTGGAAAGTCCAAACTGCCAAGAATCAATTTCTCCACTTAGACATAAACTACTGACAGAATTTATCTTATTAATTATTTTTGGGACTCTGGGGCCTATTAAAAGGCTTACAGTTGCTGGAAAGTAAATTGCTATTAGTTTTGGTATGTTTCAACGCTCGGCACAATAGCAGCTACCAGACAACACCTCTAGATTTCAGCCAAGCTCTCTTTCCTGAGCAGCAGGAGTCATGTTTGACAGTAAGGATCTTTTTCAAATATTGGGGATCTATATTCTGATGAGTGATTGCAGCTTCTGATCATGGAGGTAGAGTTCACTATTGTTGCAGACCCCACTGAGTGATGTGGCCTTCAAAGGATTTAAAAAGCCAGTCCATGTTTGTTTCCCATTCACTTCCTCATATTTTACCTTTTGGGAAACAGAAATTTAAGGACTAGGACAATTGAAAACCATTATTATATAGGAAATTTTAAAAGTCACTACAAATGCCCTGGGACAGATGTGGGCACAGGAAAGACCTGAGATCTTAAGTTGACAACTCAGGTTCATCCCCAGCAGGAGATACAATAAACAAAAAACAACATCAACAAAACTCAGTAAATGCTGGGGAAAGCAAAATGTAATTTCCAGTTACTGTAGCATAAGATTCAAATGTCCAGCTGAGAACAAAAATAATCTCAAGGTATACCAAGAAACAGAAAATTATTACTCATTCAAAGGAAAATATATTCAATGAGTAAGACCAGATGGTGGATATATTAGAAAAAGATTTTAAAACAGTTATATTAAAAATGCACAAAGAGCCAATGGTAGATGTCCAAAAACAAGTTCTTGAATGAAAACAATAAAGAAATAGAAA